CTGAGGGGACAGGAAGGATTGGGGGGATCCCCTGTGCTCTCTGAGGGAAGAGGGAGATCGTTTGTGTTCTCTGAGAGGAGGAAGAAGAGTCGGGCACCCCCTGTGTTCTCTGAGGGCCGAGGGCGGATTTGGGAGGTCGCCCTTCATGTCGGGGGGTGCGTGGGGGTCAATCCAGGAAGGATTTGGGGGGGCTGAGGGGTCTCACCTGGGGCTGGGTCAGGGTCAACCCTCAGGTGGAGCAGGGACAGGTAAAGGAAGTGGAGAAGAGAGAAAAGAGCAGGAAAAGGATGGTGGAGGGGCCTAAAAAAGCTTCTCACACCAGGGCTTCGCTTTTATTCCAAGATCTCACTCAAACCCTGAGCTCTCCGGGGTTGGGGGAAAGGAGCGGTTTGGGGGTTCGGGGGTGGCCAGGAAATGCCCGGGGGGGGGGTTCTGAGAGACCCCCCCCTCGCACCAGGGCTCTGCTTTACTCCATGACCCCAAATCCTCCAAGACCTCCCCTCCCCAAACCCGGAGATCTTTGGGACTGGGGGCGTGAAAGGAACATTTTGGGGGACCAGGAGGTGCCATGGGGAGGAGTTGGGGGTCCTGAGAGACCCCAAATCCTCCAAGATCCCTTCTCCGAACCCTGAATTCTTCAGTGCCGAGGAAAAGGAGCATTTTGGGGGTTCAGGGTGGGCCGGGAGGAGTCGGGGGTCCTGAGAGACCCCCTCTCCCCAGGGCTTTGCTTTGCTCCGGGGTTCCCTCCCCAAACCCTGAGCTCCTCGGGGGGGGGGAACGGGGGGGGGGTGGGGGGGCGGGGGGGGGCCCGGGGGGCCGCGCCCTCCCCCCCCCTGCCCGCCCCCCCCTGCCCTCCCCAGGCATCCAGACGAGCCAGGACGCCCGTTTCTACGCCCTGTCCGCCCGGTTCGAGCCCTTCAGCAACCGGGACCGGGCGCTGGTGCTGCAGTTCACGGTGAAGCACGAGCAGAACATCGACTGCGGGGGCGGCTACGTGAAGCTCTTCCCGGCCACTCTGAGCCAGGAGGACATGCACGGAGACTCCGAGTACAACATCATGTTTGGTGGGTGTCCCCCCTGCCCCAGAGACCCCCCGGGCTGGGCTCAGACCCCCCCTGACCCCCTCCACCCCATCCCCAGGTCCCGACATCTGCGGCCCCGGCACCAAGAAGGTTCACGTGATCTTTAATTACAAGGGCAAGAACGTGCTCATTAACAAGGACATTCGCTGCAAGGTGGGTGTGGGTGTGTGGGGAGGGGTCTGGGGGTCCTGCTGCTCCTCTCATGGGGGGGTTTGTGGCCTTTCTGAGCCCCCCTTTGCCCCCCAGGACGACGAGTTCACCCACCTGTACACGCTGGTGGTGAGGCCCGACAACACCTACGAGGTGAAGATCGACAACGGGAGGGTGGAGTCGGGGTCCCTGGAGGAGGATTGGGATTTCCTGCCCCCAAAAAAGATCAAGGACCCCGAGGCCAAGAAACCTGAGGACTGGGATGAGAGGGCCAAGATCGATGACCCCGAGGACACCAAGCCTGAGGTGAGGGGGGGGGTCTGGGGGGAGCCGGGGGGGGAACGGGGGGGGCTCGGGGGGGGGTGGGGGGGGCTGGGGGGGGACCTGGAGTGGGTTTGGGGGGGCTCTCGAGGGGATTGAGGGAGTTCTGAGGGGAATTGGAAGAGCTGAGGGAGCTCCTGGAGGGGTTTGGGGGGCTCTGAAGGGGCTGAGGTAGCGCCCTGAGGGGAATTGGGGGAGGGGGGGCTCTGGGGCAAAATTAGGGGGGCTGAGGGAGTTCTGGGGGGCATTGAGAGGGTTGGGGGAGCTCTGGGAGAGTTTAGGGGGCTCTGGGAGGGCTGTGGTGGTGCCCTGGGGGGGCCACAACACCTCTGAGGGAGTTTGGGGGTCTCTGCAGGGCCGTGGCAGTGAATTTGGGGTGGGGGGGCCATTGGAGCTCTGAGGGGATTTGGGGGGGCCCAGGGCCCTGGGGGGGCCATGGCACCTCTGGGGGGTTCGGGGAGCCCCAGAAGGTTTTGGGGGGGCTCCAGAGGGACCATAAGAGCCCCCCCTGTGCCCCCCCCCAGGACTGGGACAAGCCCGAGCACATCCCGGACCCCGACGCCAAGAAACCCGAGGATTGGGACGAGGAGATGGACGGGGAGTGGGAGCCCCCCGTGATCCAGAACCCCGAGTACAAGGTGGGCCCTGGGGGGACCTCAAAGAAGGGCTGTGACCCCCCCCCGACCCCTTCTTTGCCCCCCCTGACCCCCCGTTTGCCCCCCCAGGGCGAGTGGAGGCCGCGGCAGATCGACAACCCCGACTACAAGGGCAAGTGGGTTCACCCCGAGATCGACAACCCCGAGTACAGCCCCGACCCGCTGCTCTACGCCTACGACAGCTTCGGGGTCATCGGCCTCGACCTCTGGCAGGTCAGGGGGGGCCCCATGGGGGGCTGGGGGGGGGCTCCAAAGCCCCTCAGGAGCCCCCCTCGGGTTTTACCCCCGGAGTCGCCCCCAAATCTGAACCCAGAGCCACCCAAACTCCTCCAGGAACCCCCACAAATCCTAACCCAGAATTCCCCCAAATCCTAACCCAGAGTTCCCCAAACTCCTTCAGGAGCCCCCCCCCAAATCCTAACCCAGAATTCCCCCAAATCCTAACCCAGAATTCCCCCAAATCCTAACCCAGAGCCACCGAAACTCCTGCAGGAGTCCCCCCCAAATCCTAACCCAGAATTCCCCCAAAACCTAATCCAGAGCCCCCAAACTTCTCCAGCAGCCCCCCCCCAACCTCCTCCCCACCCCCCCCAAATCCTAACCCAGAGCCCCCCCAGACCCCCCAAAACCACCCAGACCACCCCCAAATCCCTGAAGGAACCCCCCCAGGCCCCCCCTAAGAGCCCCCCAACCACTCCAGGAGCTCTCAAGTTACCTCCCCCAGCCCCCCCTCATTTCTCCCAGAGCCCCCCCAGTTCCCCCCAAACCCTTTCCCAGTTCCCCTCCTGAGCCCCCCCAGTTCCCCCCAGTTCCCTACCAGACTCCTCCCCACCTCAGGCTGGGGGTGCTCAGGGGGGTCCCTCTGGGCCTGCCCGTCCTGGGGGGGCTGTGGGACCCCTGGGGGGGCTGTGGGACCCTTGGGGGGCTGTGGGACCCCTGAGGGGGCTGTGGGACCCCTGAGGGGCTGTGGGACCTTTGGGGGGGCTGTGGGACCCCCTGAGGGGGCTGTGGGACCCCCCCCGACTCCCCCTCCCCACAGGTGAAGTCTGGAACCATCTTTGACAACTTCCTGATCACGGACGACGAGAAGTTGGCCGAGGAGGTCGGGAACGAGACCTGGGGGGCCACCAAGGTGAGACCCCCCCGTGAGACCCCCGGGGAACCCCCTGGGGAACCCCCCCGGGGCCATCGGCTGAGCCCCCTCAGTGAACTCCCCCCAGGACCCCCCAGGACCCCTCTGAGCCCCCCCAGAATCCCCCAGTGACCCCTCTGAGCCCCCCCAGAATCCCCTAAAGACCCCTCTCAGTGACATCATCTCAGTGACCCCTCCCCAGGTGACCCCTCGGACCCCCCCCCAGGACCCCTCTGTCCATCCCTTGGCCCCCCCAGGACTCTTTGGTCACCCCCTTCCCCTCCAGTGACCCCTG